TTTGTGGAGCATCAACTAAAATAAGAGAATAAGGGGATTGTGTCAAATACAAGAAAATTAGCAGTTATGAGTTGTGAAATGAAAGAGAAACTTAATAAAGAAAAATAATCAAGAATGGTATTTTTTTTCTGGGATGATCTAGAGGATAATGAAAAGTCCATTGAAGCAATATAATATTTCTAATTTGTGATTGAATGGCACCCATTGAAGGTTGTTTATAACTGCAGATTTTATGTTTTTTCTTAAAATATTATATTGGACAAAGGATTGGAAATGTCTTTTAGAAAAAATCATGAGTATTTTTTCTAGGTCTATTTTTTTTATGGTATAGAAAATACAATGTCTTTTGTTTTTCCATTTCTTTTGATTTTCATCATCAAAAGTCACGAGCAGAACAGGTTGTACCTTCGATTAGAAGAGCTTTGAAGCATTTAAGGCCTTAATGATCTTCAAGTATTCGCCCCTTGAACAAAGCAGCTGTAGAAACGTACATTGACAATGCAAATCAATCAATTTTAGTCAGCAGAAGCTATCATCACAAGCAGAGAGTTCCCTTTAGGTGGGTATTCACTCTTTGGCTGACAAAATGGGCAGTTTCCTGGGCTCAAACTTACTTAGCCAGAGCCAGAGTCAGGGTTTTCTCCTTGCTGGGCATTCTGATGATTTTTACTTACCACCGTGGTCCTTGGGCACAGGTCATGATGTGTTGTTCAAACAGTTTTTTTGTTTATTTGTTTGTTTTGTTTTTATTAGCAGAAAGTTAATGAAATCACTTTCCATGAGAACCAATAAGTCAAAAGACCTTAAGCATAGCTCTTTACTTTTCGGTTCCACTCCATTCAGCAGCCATTATTGAATATCTGTGCCAGAGTCTGTACTAAGGGCTATAATGTACACAAAGTATAAGGAACCAGTTCTTTAATTTAGAAATAAATTGCGACTTGAAGAGGCTAGATATAAACATTCCAAAGTTACATAATAAAAAGATTAAAAGTAATGGTTCTTATGTAATGATGTTATAATTATTTTTGTTTTCAAATCACATTCTCTCCAGAGAGTTCATCTTGGCTATTATCAGAGACAATATTTATAATAGCTAGCATCTATTGAACACTTACTATTTGTGAGACACTTTTAGTATATTGTCTAATCCTTATAAAATTTTTATAATAGAGTTGTTGCTATCTTTTTTTTAATAGATGAAGGAGCTGAATAGATGAGTTTAGTGAGAATAAACAATTTGATCAAGATCATGAAGCTAGTAAGCAGGAAAGCTAGGTTTTGAGCCCAGCTTTCTTACCATAAGACTTTTCTTAGATAAGTCTGTATGTTTCAAAGCTGTTTTTATTTTCATAAAAAGCTCTGAGATAGTTAGAAAGGTTGCAGTACTAAGTTTCTCTCTGAAGCCTGAAAGGAGAGGGATGATGGGTAACTGACATGACTATGTGACCTTTTCAGACATTGTAAAAGTTAATTGACACTTTTAGATATCTCTTGACTTTTACCAGGATTGCTTAGTGATCTGCCAGTATTAACTCATAGCCATGTTATTGACTCTTTCTCAGCATTAAGCTGAAAGTAATCCGGCCATTACTGCATTGTTTCCTCTAATTTTATTTGCAGTCAGTACACGTTGTAGCTCATGTTATCTGTGGTGGAGTTTCCTATTGATATATTTCAAGAAACCTGTTCACAGAAAGGTTTTAAGAGTACCTGAAAGAATGTGACTTTGAAAAGTAGAAAACAGAAAACTTAGGAGACCAAAATCAAGCCAAAATTTGTTGCTTTTAAGTATAAGAATTTTATATTTATTTCCTATAATTTAAAAATCCTTTGGTTTCATGAGCCCCTCAAGACATAAAAGGTTAGAGCACCAAAACTTGAGTCAAGGGATTAGCTAGTATCTTTTTTCCCCCTATTATTTACATTATTTGTCTGGGTAGGAGAAAGGGATACATAGGATATTGTGAAAAGGATCTTCACTATCATTATCATCAGATAATTTACTATGGGTGGATTATATGTCACCTACTTTTGGGTGGCTTTGTTCCAAGTAGATTGAACATACGCAGTCTTAGCATAAACATATAATGATATCCAGAGTTCAGAGAGCAAAAACATATTTGTTAATCTAATGCTTAAATCAGATACACTATTTTGCAAGACCAGAGACTAACAAGCAGAATGTAATAAAAGAGACTCATTTCAGACCCCAGAATCTCAGTTATAAGAGACAATCCCTCCAGTCCCTCCCTGACTCTCAGGGAACGAGTAGCTGTTGCTTTAACCTGATCCTTTATGAAGACAACAAAAGTGTTTCTAAGCATAATTTAATGCATATTCTCCAATGAGAAATGCATACATTTTACAATGCAGTTAATTCAAATGCAAATACATTAAATAATATGTGAATGCCAAGATGATCTTAGTTAATGGTTTTCTTTCTCTTGTAACTAAAGGCAGTTGGAGCTTCTCCTCCTGTGTTTATTTGATCCTTCTCTATGTGTTCAGCATTGCTCTTGGTTCATACCTGTACACTTATACTGGAGCCCTTATTGTTTGCTGGTTATTTTGTAGCCTCTGCTAATGTGTGGTCTAAAAACCATGTCAAGTGGTGTAGGTTTATCAATTCATAGCTAGTTAAGAGTATATTCTTCTAACAAATACTGCACAGTTGATACTGTACTGACATTGCTTCTTTGCTCGTAAGCCTCTTCTGTTACCTGAGTGTGGTTCCCCTGTGCTTTCTCTGATAGTCCCATTAATGTGTATTCCTTCATCTTGTGATAAGCCAATGGATTTTTATAGCTTTTGATAAGAAGAATCACTTCCTAAGTGGAATTGGAGATAATGCTAGAAAGAATAATGGATATTATAGCATATTTTAGACAAAAGATTAATAATACATCCTCCACCCCCAACATTGATCTTAGTGCTATCATTGTAATCAGGATCACTTAATAATTATTCTATACAAATTAAAAGACAAATTATTTCTATAATGAATGAAAAAATTGTACTTTTTAGACCAAATAATGTTCGGATGTGTTTATGGCCATTCTTCTAAGAACCCAAAGGGATAACCGTTCAATCATTACAACAGTGGTTGAAGGGGGACTTGTAGGACTTGTTCTAAGGCTGCACAATTCCAGGCAGGTGCGATTTCAGACAAACTGTGGTGTACAAACAATGCATTCCTCTACTAATTTCTAACTCATCTTTTCTATTTCCCTATCACTCATCTCTTCAATCTAAAATGCTCAGTGTCTCAGAAATGCCCATAGTGACTCAAAAGTCCCAATCTGATGACAGACATGAGCAGTTTCATATGTCCCTGACCTCTTCATCTCCACCTTTGATCCATCAGGACTCTACTCTTCAAGGTGGTTACTGGCAGCACGTTCATCCTTAAGAATTGTGGAACCTAGAGCATGAACATAAATGGAAGCCTCCATATGTTATGCCTTATTCTTTATTATATACCAACCAAGTATTATTAAATAAAATATGTTTTATCTCCCACTTTGACAGATATACCTTTATAACAACCTGGATGGCCAGATGAAATGCTGGTATTTTTGGACTTCTTGGTAATAGTGTGGCATGGAGAGAGACAGACTCCATATTTCACGGTTCCTCTAACCAGTTTGGTCCTATATTGTGAGAGGCCTTGAATACAAGCGAGTGGACACTCTAGTCCACACTTCCAGGACCCATGTACACTTCCCTCAAGCATTTGCACCTCGACCACTCATCCTTCCTAGGTGCATGGACATTGGTGGCGTACTCTGTTGACTGGGCCACAGAACTGGGAAAAAGGGAATTACAGGCCCTGGTTAAGGGCTTAGAACTATTTGGGGATGGAATTCTGGAATCCCAGGGGTCTTCAGCGTGGTCTAGAAAAGAGGAGTACAGGATCCAGGTGGGCACTTCTCTTGACTTCACAGACTTTGCCTAGTGGTGCAGGTGTGGCCAAGAGAAGAGGCGTAGTGATCAACAAATACTTGCTGGTTTCTTACTGTGTATTGGCACTGTTCTGGTCACATGAGACACAGGAATGAACAAATCAAAGTGCTTGCCCTTGTAGAGCTTATATCCTGGAAAAGATAGACTAAATACTAATTATAATAAATATACTGTATAGCATATTAGAAGGTGAGAAGTACTGTAGAGACAATAAGAATTAGAGCAGTGACATTAAAATAATATAAAATGTTTTAGTACTTTTGCATTATATTTGTTTTTTTAAATGTAACTTGTGTTCATAACTGTCACAATCTTGCTATTTTACTGAAAAAAACTATAACTTTAGGTAAAACATAAACCATTTTTACGACTTTTTAAACTTCCAAATGTCTCAAAAACCTGCAAGTAATTACCTCATGGGCAACTACATTTAAATAATAGACAGTAAAAATGAAAATTGTGGTCATAATCAGAGACTATAACCAGTCTTTGATGCATATTGTGTATATATGTGTTCCCCAGAGACCTTTAAGGAAACTGTCCTTTGGTAACTATAGCATTAAACACCAATTTAGCAGTTTGAAATCTCAGAAAACTGTGACATTCCACAGTTTACAAACTAATACAGCTTTGTTTTATTTGTGATAAGCTTACCAATTTGTGTTATTTTATATAAAGTTTGATAAATGGTTATGCATTCTGACTCATTTTAGTCTGTCAGTAAATGAGATCTTTATCCCTTTAGTTATATTCCAATCTCAGGTATGAAGAACGCTTCATAAAACAAAATTCATTATTTTACTATAAGCACATTCATGACTTAAAAAGAATACAACTCATACTTCAAATGAGATTATAACCCTCTGCAATTTTGTATTATCAAAGCAATTATTTACAATATGATGTGGAAGTGAGTGTACTATTAAAATTGAAAATTGTAATTAAATAACTCATTTTAATCTGAAGGACTATGTAAATATACTGACAAGTAATCTTAAATATTTTAACACAGACAATTCTTTGTGTCTTTTCAGTCTATTCGAGAAGTCACAGGCTACGTCTTAGTCGCTCTTAATCAGTTTCGTTACCTGCCTCTGGAGAATTTACGCATTATTCGTGGGACAAAACTCTATGAAGATCGATATGCCTTGGCAATATTTTTAAACTACAGAAAAGATGGCAACTTTGGACTCCAAGAGCTCGGACTGAAGAACTTGACAGGTAAGGCACATATATAACATAACAAATATACTCTCATTATCAATATAACATAATAAGCTCACACATGTGTATGCATGAGTATGTGGTTACAGTAGTATGTGTTCCTTTGAGAGGCACTATAAAGCACTTAAATATCTACCACTTATTCATTTTATGAAAAATTATGCCCGGAGATTCTCCTACTTTATTTACAGATATTGTAAGTGGAGACTGAGGGATACCATAAAGCTGTATCTCAGCTGAACAGAAGTACACTGTTCAGGAAATGCTCAGTGACTGAGAACTGAGATATGAAGCAGGGTTAAGAATGCTATGTTTGGTGGTCTCAGGTGAACAGTGAACCATATCACCAAATCTCTGCAGTAAAAGACTCTCATTCTCATTAAAAATCAGTAAATACACAAGCCGTTATATCTAGTGTTTTGCACAATTTCTTATTTATGGAAAACGTCTAATTTATTAATTCAGTTTTGATTACTCTTATTTCCTAACTTAATGAATACCTTTGTAATTCTTTCTCAGAATGCTTTGATATCATCAGTGATTTTTTTTCCACCATAAGATTGGAAATAAGCAATTGCATGATAACCTCAAATTATCATCTTGCTACAAAAAACACTTTGTAGGAATTTGTTGTGTAAGTTGGTCCTTTTAATACCACTGATATATTATCAGTTTTTAAGTTCATAGTTTGTAAAAGCTGTGGTGGAAGGCTTTTTGTTAAAAGATTTCTAATCATGAATTTTACCATGTGTGCCTATAATCAAATGTGCTAATTAGGAATTAATTATCATCCCACAGTAGATAGAGTTCAAACTATTGATTTAACCTAAATTAATATAATCTATATATTTTGCATCAAAATATGTGGGGCTTTTAAGTGTGTTTGAGTCCACTCAGTGGTGACGTTTCTTGATATGGAAACATAAAATGATTTAGAGGTATCACCTTAAAATATTAAGTATCAAATAAGATTATTATTAAGATATTATAATTGTTTGTTTCACTTGCAGTGGATGTAACATGTATATTTTAAGTTAGAAGTAGCTGGATAGTTAGCCAGACATGTGAGCTAAAATTGGGATATTTTAAAAGAATAAAATATGCTGATTATGTTATTTATTTTGGATATAATTACTATAGAATTGATGACAGAATAGTAAATGTAAATTGTTCAGAATTTATAGATTCCTTCAACAACATTTTCACTCTTTTTTTTTCAAAGATAGTTATCTTACTAAACAGCAGATATTTTTTTTTTAAACTAAATTGCTACTTGCATGGAAATAATGATAGGAGAAAAAACTTGGAAATGGAATGGATAGAGAAAAATTGAATGGTTTAAATTAGGAATCTAAAAATAATATGACCCAGTTAAAACTTGCAAAGGAAACATTGTGTTTTCTGCATGATTTTTCTCTGATTATATCAAAGAAGAAATTAATACATTTCTTTTCAAATTTTTTGTAATATTTGAATTATTATTTCATTATATGTTCTGTTTGAAGGATCTTACCATACAGAAAATTAGTCTTTAAAGAATTCTTGTTTATGTCTACATTTAACATCACACTACTAAAGTATTAAAAGTTAATAAAAATTATGCCACATTTAAACATACCTTATCTACTTAGTTAATTTACATGGATTACATACGATTGTGAGAGTTGTTTAACTTGTGCAATAATAAAATATCACATTATTTTTTCAAAAAATATCCCCTACTCTTCCAGAAAGCCTTACGATATTTTCTTGTGTAGTAGTAGAAATAAGTAAATAATAAATGACTAAAAGAATGAGTTGATTGTTTAGAAAAATATATATATTTGTCCCAGAGTTATTAATTTTTTTAATATGAATTAAGGAAAAGTGTAATATAACAAATGGATGAGAAATTTGGGGCAGAGCTCAACAACATGTGTTTTAAGGTTCCTTCCAATGATTTTGATGATTACTAAAATTTGAGGAACACTGTTCTAATTAATAAAAGATACATTACCAAGAAATGGTAGTACAATATATACTTAACTTCTTCATAGTTACTTGACCTAAAAAAATCAATTCACTTATATTCTTGAGAGAAGGGAAGGAATGGGACAGAGAACAGATACGTTTTGATTGAATGACAAGAAATACATTCTCAGCTGGGCTGAGAATGGAAAGAGCATAACAAGGAGCTTGGATGGAAACATGTATGTATAAATGCGCTTAGAGATGAGGAAGGTTTTAGGAATCAACTTTCTTCTGCATTACCGTTTCACTTAATACCAACTGTGCATAATGGTAAACAATTGCAAGGACAATAATAATTCACAGTGAATTTTCTTTCTAAGCAAAATTTTATTTTTAAGCACATTCAATGAGATGAACAACAAGTACCAATTGTGGGGGTGCGAATCATGTTATCATAAAGAATTTGTTTCTCCTGAAATCTATTTTAGCTGTGTTGACCTTAGAATAGTATGCCTTTATAACAGCACATTTGCCTTCTAAACACTCTATCTCTGTGCAAAAGATGTGTTAGTTTGACCTGAGGACCGTCAAATTATAAGAATTAATGGTTGGATGCCACTTATACACATATAAATTAACTTCCATCCTACACATTCTTATTAATTTGCTTGATGCTCACCAAAAGCTATTGCTTGGGCTATAGACATTACTAAAGATCTTACTTACATACTTCAAGCACTGTGGTTTTGTACAAAGTCAAGAAACACATTTAAACGTATTTTCTGATTAAATGGAAAAGCTTGTTTTACTGACGTCACTCACATTTTTCTGGCCCATGATGGTGAGGTGAGGTAGAATGAAGAAGAGGCAGGTCCCTAGATGAAGGAGCATCTAAGAGAGAGTGAGGAACTTGTTTTGGCCATCTCTAGGTACCCTAATACACTGGGCCACCATTTCCTGTTCGGGGGAGGGTCTATTCTTCTTTCAGTGTGTCCCCTCAGGCATATTGTCACCTTAAGGCTATTGGGAATGGTACTGCATTAGCAGGGTGCAGATCTGGAGAGAAATCCTTTACTTTTCTCTATTGAGGTCCCTCACGTGTGGCTGTGGTTCTTATTAATCACTTCCAATAAGGATGTTCTGCTGAATTTTTAATCTGTTCCTTCTTAAAAAACATTCTTATTCAAAATTCCATCGAACTTTTAATTATTTGCAACCTTAAGCCTAGGATTTGTACTTACTTAGTCCCCTGTCTCTGGCCAAAATCCAAAGGTTGTGCCATGGGGCATAAATGCCACTGTTATTTCCTGCCTTCTATAATTCATATAAATACCTCCTCTGTTGATAATGGTGGGTGATGTTATACAATTTCATCTATATGTTATATTGTATGAATATAACATATTGTGAACTTTGAGAAATAACCTAAGTTCATATCTATTCTTATTCACATCCTATTTAGAATGACAAAAACTTAGGTACAAATTTAATACATGAATATGTACATTTTTCTCACCAGATTTTCCTTAAATATTTGAATTTTCATGTTATGAATTATGAGAATATCTCTTTTGGGCATATGAAATTTGGAATGATACACATATACAATTTATGTTTTTAAAACTTTAGCCAAATATTCTACTCTTTTTCAGACCAACATATTAATGCATTAATGCCTTTATTTAATATTTTATGGATATTCTAATTGGTTAACTGTGTATTAGAAAAAATAATTAGATTATTTTTTCAGATGTAGACAAACAAAAATTATAAACAAAAAGTGAAATGTTGAAGTCAATTTTAGGACCCCTCAATAATAATGTAAAGCACATGTTAAGTTTACTGAATGCTGGTGGACAAAAAATAAAATAAAACGCTTAGTCCAGGGCGATACAACATCTGAATAATGTCACTTTTGAACAGTGTAACATCTGAGCATTACACCTGAATGTCTGCCTTCAAACTGCATAGGCTATTAATTAAAAGAGCACATCCAAGTAATATGGTACCTCTTAATGTTTAAATTTCTCACCCCCCTCAACATTATTAAGTAATGGTCAAATAAGTAACCGAATATGGAAATGGACAAGCTATTTCTAATTGACCCCATGTATTTCAAAAACTATGGATATGGAATCAGAAAATGCTCTATTCAAATGCCAGATGACCACTTACAGTCTGAGTATCTTCTTTAAAATTGAGAAGAAAATTCCCTCCCCGATGTTGTTATAGACACTAAAGTAATAAGGTAGGGAACTTGCCAACCACAGCACCTTTCACATAGAAGATTCTTAAGGAAACTTCGTTTTCTTTCTCTGTATTGCTTTGTTTTTAGCTTTCCTTTGTGTCAACACACTGACAAAACAATGTACATATTTCTGAATATTCACATAGGTTCCTGTTGCTTCATGGAGACTTTGACAAGTGTTTAGACAAAAAGATGCTCCAAATTTCAGCATGTCTTCTTATAGCGCTTTGAAACTACTTCCTGTATAAGATCTATTCTCCGGCGGTGAAAAGCCTGAGGCTTTTCTTCGTCTCCGCTGGCTGTCTCCGCACTTGACAGCCCTGCTCGCCTGCCTTTCAGGGTCTCACGCCAAGCACCTGTTGCCCCAGCACTTCATCTCAAATCTCCATCATCATGTTTCACCCTTCATTGGCCCTGACATTTGTCTTGACCTAAACTAGAGCCATATTCAGAGTTGGTTTTTATTTTTTTCTGACAGAGTTGCTACACATTCTTCAACTGCTCTGAGGAAGGTCTTAGCAATGTCTGAATGGGTTCAACCAACCTAGTTCAGAGAGTTTTGTTAAATACAATGTTTGACAAAGGTACTACTAATATTTACATGAGAAGAGCTACTCAGCATACTGTGATATGTGTAGGAAAAGTGATTCCAAGAATAATCCTAGCTTAAAGGTAAATTACTTAGAAAATGATTTGATCAAAACTAACCTGTAGTGGAAATCTTAAGAGGCAGATGGAATGTGAAAAGTGCTACATTCTTACGAAATCGTCAACTTTAAGATCAGGTCCACAATTTCTG